AACTCTGGTTGCGGTCCGTGCAACCTTTTTCGTGGTGTTTCTGGTGGCGACCTTTTGCTTGGTGGTGGAAGGAGATTTTTATGAATATTACAGCAAAAATGACTTAAGTTGCCCATCCAGATAAATGTTCACAGTCCTTCAGGTGATCTTGGAGGATTTGGGGTGAATGGTAATAGTTCTTGGCTGATTGCGAAGGATGCCACATGTATGCTCGAAGGTTGTCAGTTAGACCTCGTGTAGGTTTTGCATAGTCATTATTAAAGGCTCTTTCACACCATGAAAACGTCCGATCCGTGTCAAAATCTACACGGTTCCAACCCGTGTTGACTTCTTTAAATTTCAGCACAGTTCAATTCCGCTCCATTTTCACACTACTGAACACAGCTCCAGCATTTTTGCTACACGTGTAATGTTTGGACCTGTGTATTGCGCAATTGTTTCACACTTACAACACACCTGCGCACCCAACATGGGTCAGATTGCTAATTTTGAGAAACACGATGCTGGTTCTTGTCATGCCATCAAGCTGCCTTTGGATGGAGCTGTCAGCCCAAATTGCCAACAAAGCCTTCACCAGTACGATTGTGAAGAACGCACCTGAAATTGGGGCATGTCGCAGGTCAAAAGTAATTTGTTTGTTCGTTGCCGTCCTATTTCTACAGTGTGCATGTGAGTTCGCCCGTATGATATTTAAACGGGTCGAACAATAACCACTTGCATTCACACTACGGCTTTCAAAACGTGTCGGATGTTTCAACACGGGTCAAGAGCTCTCAACCCACCTCCAGAGTAGGGTTGGTTTCGACACAGGTCGAGAGCTCTTCATGGGTCAGTGCCATGTTCAAATGGTGTAGTGTGAAAAGGACCAACCCGGAGATTTTTCGTAGTATGAAAAGGCCTAAAGTCAGCCCGATATATATCTTTTGAATCAACCGCATTGCTCAAGAATGCCATTCGCACTGCCTCAACATAATGATAGGAATTGCCGGAGGATTTTCAAGGATTGAGGCAGTAGGCACACTTCCAACATGGCCAAGTAATATTTTCAAGAAATTTTGGAGGATTGAAGGCTGAATGCAATTTTTTTCATGTCAAAAATCAGAGGATTTTGGACGACGGAGGATGGTTCCTTGTAAAAAGGCCTAGGGGGTAAGGGTTAAGGCCTACGGTACATGTACATGAAGCTGTACATTGTAGCTTACATGTACATACAGTTATGACAATCTTTACTGTCACTGCATTTTGCAAAGTGAAGAATCGGTTGTTATAATCTCACCACATCAGTAGAAGTATCCCCTATACTTGACAATTTGAAATTCATTGTTCAATTGTAGCTGCACTAAAAAAAAATAAATGAATTTAAAAAATCTTGCTAACTTCTGCGTGTATTTTGGATCACATAAATTGTTGAATGTTGATGACTAAAGCACTGGAAACTGAGAAAAACACCCTTTGTTTTAGTGATGGCTACCGGTAGGTTTCACATGGGTTCGAGTTTAATCATGGGATTCTGTTAGCTTTCAAAGGGGTACTCGAAAAGCACATACGTGTACATGGCAGGCAATGCAAGCTCATATGTGTATGCAAAGGCACATTTGGCAGTTGCAACATGAGGAAATTGTCATACTTCTCTTTGCTGTCACGTGTTCCACAAGGGGGTACAGGTATATACGTGTACAATGCAAGTTACTGTAGTTATTCCATGTACAGTCTCATTGACGTGGGAGAGGAACTTGGATAAAGGTGAATTAGTCATACATGTATGACCTTCGATTCCACAGTCATTGTCATTCATGACATGAATCAAACCTTGTACATACCGGCAAGAACCTGTACCCTCTAACTGTGGGTGTCACATTGACTTTTTACAGTAGGTGAAGGATCTGTATGGGCTGATTACATGCACAGTACATGTACAGCTTCCAGTCTGCTCGTTGGGTGTACATGTATACTTGTACAGATGCGTAGGTTTGGTGTTACATGTACATGTATGTGGTATCATCTTGTGGTCATGTTGGGAAGCCTGTGATTCAAAGGGGGTCTGTGTGAGACTCAAACTGTTGCAACAGGTACATACATGTACATGTATCTGTACATGTACTTGTACTTGTTTTGTTGGTCGTTGGGTTGTGGGATGTGTCCTTACATTGTGCTTTAATCAGGAGGTAGAAATGCTAGACATTTTCCAAGCATGTACATGTACAGTAAATGCTGACACCTGATGTCACTGGTCAGTGGATCACATCGTCCACGTACATGTACATGTACAGTAAATGCTGATACCTGATGTCACCGGTCAGCGGATCACATCATCCATACACATGTACATGTACAGTAAATGCTGACACCTGATGTCACCGGTCAGTGGATCACATCGTCCATACATATGTACACATGTATTCGTACATGTACCAGTATGACAGAGAACTCATCCAAGTTATATACATGTACATTTAGTTTTGCAGTGACTAAGATACATGTACTCTACCATTCCATAATTTTAAAACTGAAAAGGATAAGAGAATTTTTCATTTCATTGCAAATGTGTACACTTACAATGGGTAGTCTTTAATTCACCTGCAGGCATTTAATTCAGGCATTGTCTTGCATGTGCTTTGAAAATGAATGTGAATGTGACATGGTTAGACTCGGTTTGGTTTGTGTTATGTTGTGCAAATGTAGATGAACATGTACATATGTACCTGTATGTGCAGCGTTGTGTAACCTGTTGAATTGATGACAGTTCACATGTATTGACTATCATGGGATTGTTATGGCTTCAGAAATACAGTGTACCCAGTACTTTTCCGGGTGTGCTTTGTAAATGTTTGTCCAACCGTTACAAAATGAGAATGATGTTCCGCACTTACATGTACATGTACATATTCAGTACACATTGTGTAATTGGTTTTTTGGATGCCCAATTCTACTGTACATTTGGACAGCCTGTTTTGATTTACAGGTTTTGCTCATTCTTAATCAAGCGAAGACTGTGTGGACTCACACCTGTCCAGGCAGTGTTGTGTCCTTTCTGAAAAATGGCTTCAGAGTTAGACTATTTTGGGATCGGAGAACTTTACGTGCACGCTACGTGTAGCAAAAGGAAGAGGAATAGTCAAGAAAATCGTCATCCAAAATCCTGCTTGAAAGAGATATTGTAGTTGGAGAAGAGGGAGCATTTTCTCTGAATGTTCTTAATCACAGGAGAATAAAGGAATGTCCGTACTACTGTGTGCACATGTACATGTTAAATGTACAGGTACATATGCACAGTTTGTATGTGAAAGATGGATGTTAGGGGTGGTAAGCATTGCTTTTGAGGACAGTGTCTGTTATAATGAAATGAGTAGTGGAATTGGGTCTCCATAATGTTTTTAGTTCCCCCACAACGTCTACATATTTCAACATGTCAGTAGACCCAAGTTTCATGAGTGTTATTTACCAAAAATAAAGCCTACAGTCGGTACAGTTTTCAGACTGCTGATGTTCTGAGTACTATACCAAAATCAGCGTTATTTTGGGTAAACAACACTTCAAACACTTCGCTGTGGGAAGACACCATGTTTATTGGTGTTTGGTACCCACTGTATATGTACATGTACATGTTAGTCAGATGACTTAGCAGACAAAGTAGTTTATTGTTGAACAAACTCTGAAATGAGCAGTACCCGTGACTGCCGTTCAGGTTGCATGACCGTGATTAATAGACAATGACGTTAACTCATCACTTGACTTCTTATCACCGGTGCCCTGCCAATATCACAACTTAACCTTTGTACTGTTGTACAACAGGGCAGGTAGTTACCGGGTGATATCCCCACAGACACAGTGTTAATGGTAGTAGGTAATGAATAGTCCATAGCCCTGTGATTGTATCGTGGAGTTTGTGCACTGTGATGAAAGTGCCGCTGTGTACATGTATTTGAGTACATGCATTTGAGTACATGTACATGCATTATGGTATATTGAAGGTGAATTTGCCATACATCTGATACAGAGCACAGAGAATCAGATGTGTTGACCACCCGCGCATCATGCATATGTGTTTACATGTATGTACAGCAATTTTCATACATTGTTTATGCTTACATATATCCTTATGTACATGTACTAGTACATGTATATGTATGTATTAATTTGTACCCTATTATGGGCCACAATAATGATATGTTTTATTTATGAATATATTATGTAATGAGAACTCCCTCTCTTTCTGGTATGATTTCCACCCTCACAATATCAGGCCACGAAAGGCTGTTTGTTCTAACTGTTAACAGTTAAGTGCACAGTGCTGCAGAGGGATCTGGTGCTGATGAAGAGAGGTTGAGATAAGACCTGATAAATGACTTAATAGGGTGCCACAAGGCATTGACAGAGCTCAGGTACATGATGTAATAATGCATACCTGTGTACATGTACTTGCACAAGTACAGTACCTGTACAGTATATGGTGTGTTAATGTAATACACAGCTGCCTGTACATGTACGTGTTCATGTTCTCTGCTATTCTCATTAGTATGTCTAAAGACAAGGTAATTCACATGGGTTTTCATGAGTATTGTATGCTGCTTTTCTGTGTAAACGTAATACATGTAGTTTTTACCTGTGCACGTGTGCACTTTTAAAAATTTTCTTGCATCTTTGTAGCATTTTCATACTCAAATATGTATACATTGTACCGTACATGTATGTGTCTTTCCCCAGAAATAAACATGTTGTAAGATTGTTACTGACATGCTGTACTGCCATATTGGAATTTTTTTCCAAAATTTGTAGCTCATACAGGTGTACTGTACATATGGTGATTTTCTTTTCTTTGCTCTATGCTTACGGGGTGTACACAAACCATGCTCATGAGAAAGAAACTAGAAAGTGCCTCCAGAGGGTTCAATTCAGAATGCTGGCCTGCAGGTCAGTTCCAAATACTCTAAGCAATCAACACCTTATCAGGCTTAATTAATTTTCATCTACCACTTTCCTGTGCCCCCTTCCCATTGCAGATTGACTGACTGATGCAAGTTGTTGTTGTTGCCATAATGTGAGCGTCCGCAAATACTTCACCGTTTGTCTTTCAGTTTCTGATCTGGTTTTTTTCCCCCGGGGAGCAGTAATTGAACAGAGACTACAGGTCAAGCCTCCCTTTCTGCCTCTACAATATTTGTAACCAGAAAGATGTGAGTACATGTAGGCGACTTACATACCGGTCCCTGTTTGACAATGACATGTAGGTAGAGTAGTTTGTGCATAGAAGAATGATGCATAATGTGCAAGTACATGTTGGCCTCGCCAGCTTTCTTTCTCACAATTAAGAGCAGCACCAAGTGTCCGTTTACTCACGGCTACCATTACATGATGATTACACTAAGTATTCAAGAATCGGTTTTGTTCTTCCGTAACATATTGGTATACGTACGTGTAAATGGCAAGCACGGAAATGTACAAACTGTGTTTTGGATGCTTAGTGAAACTTTCAAAACACTTCCCTGAACATTTCAAATTTTGGTTGGACTTCCATGTAGTGGATGTAGGGAACAAATATCTGTCATGGGTGGCATTTTGAAGCATGGAGCATACATGTACATGTACTACATGCTGGCACAGTGCATTTTATGTACATGTACGCTGCACTAACCTTACATACTAGGTGCGATACAGGAAAGGAAGATGTTTTGTGGACTTACACATGTCCACAGGACGTTTCCCCTTCTCTGAAAAAGAAGTTTAGAGGCATTTTGGGGTAGGGGTCATCTGTTGTAAAAGGAAGAGGAACAGTCGAGGAAACTTTCTACAACAATCCAGCTGAAAATCTTGTTCCCAGTTCAAGAAAAACGAGTATTTTCACTGAGTTCTCTTAACTGCGCGAAAAGAAAGGAATGTCCACAGTACATGTAGGTATGTAAAGTACATGTAAGTGTGTGTGAGTTGGCAATGTTGTTTAAGTTGTAGGGAAAGTGAGATTTCTTAGGAATGATTATGTTCCAGGGTGGCATGTGCCATTAATGCTTTATATGTACACGACAGTTTCACATGGGTATGTCAGCTTTAGAGTATTCCAGTTATTTTTTTTTTCCTTCTGCTGTTCTCTCTCTCAGAGGAAGTGATCTGCCTTAAACCTGCCCGTCTGCCAAAGCTGTCGACACAAACACACACACACAGACTCGCTATGGCTGACTCAGTGCCAACGCTGTCCCAGCTGGTTGTCACAAGTAAGATCAGACATTCCGTAGATTTCTGTTTATACTCTCTCCTCCCCCTTTTTCTTGGAATTTGAAGCTGCTCTTGTAATCATTTTGTCTCCTGGAAAGTCAGTGTAGGAAGAAATTCCGAAAACGGTCAATTTCCAAAGTGCCTTTTTGAAGGCTGGTCTCTGGTTCACAGAAAGCAGAAGAATTTCCTTTTGCATTAGTGATTGTACATAAACATGAACAGTTGAATTTGGTCCAAAAATAACTTGAAATACCTCGTCATGATTCATGGAATTAAATTATAGTGGAAAAGTGCACGTTGGTGAAGCTATGCTTGTAAACCATATACATCTACAATGTACGTGTATTGGTATATGTTACCTCTACTCGTGTGTTTTTATCAAAAATTGGTTGGCATAACATTTCTCCACTTTTGCCATCAAGCAAACAGGTACCTGTGTCTAATGCACGGTAAACAAATTGGCCTAATTGCAAGGATTAAAAAACTCTGATCTTTTCTCTAGGACTCGTCACTGTCAGACACTATTTCATTTCTCTCCCGGCATCATTGCATGTCTATGAAGAGGATTCCAGCTATTGACTGTTTTACAAACAGGATGTACAGTGGGTCACAACAGCCCGCAGAGCCCCAGGAAACAATAGATTTGGTTACAGTGTAATTATTCAGTGCATTCTTGAAGCACAAGCGTGCCTACTGGTTTGTGCACGTAGTGGGACTCGTGTTGCTTTCCTTTTCATATTTTTTCTGCGTTGGTTGGGACTGTGATGTCAAGCAATCCACACTAACAGGTGAATTTAGTTTAATCCAGCGATGAGACATTACAGGTACATGTACGTGTACTTGTTGAATGAATGGATTCCAGAAATTAGGGGTCCATTTTTTTGTGTGTCCCTGTCACATCTGACGTATGATTTTGTGAGTTCAGGAGACATTTTCTAATTTGCAAAAGTGATGAAATGATTCAACTTACGTTCCAAACAAATACATGTAATAATAGTTTGAAATCAATTCCAGTGATATTTCCATGTCAAGTAACAAAGGTCAGATGTAACAGGGACACAAAAATGTCACACTTTTGAACCCCTAATTTCTAGAGTTACCCTTATACAAAGCTGTTTCATAAGACTAAATTGTTTACATAATTGCTTCTATAACATGTGTGATATTTCTTGGATCAAATTTGCATGCATAAGGCTGCATAAAAAAGAAGTTGTTGACCGCCCGGGCTAGACCCACCAAAACAGTGCATGTGCTGAAGATTCAGAGATAATGAGAATTCAACATCTGGTTCAAAGTCATCTTCTGCGTCTAACCAGACAGTAAAATCCAAAGCGGAACCTATCTGGTCTCTTTTAGAAATCCCTGTCGAACTTCATGCAGAACTGCAAATCTAATGGCAGCACCGGCTGTGCAGCGTTGCGTTAGGGTCCTACTCAAATCAGAGACCTGTTCCATACCTGTAGGCAAAGAGTCCGACAAACTATTTTGTGGGAATCTGACTCAACTTTGTGGGGAAGAAAAAGAACAACCAACAATCTGTGTTTTTATGTGGCCTGATAGGAATGTCAGTGCGTCATGAGCATCTGTTTAATCGAGCAAGATAACGAATAACCTTGTGGAATTAGAAGGCTTTTTGGTTTCATGTTGCGCCATCTGAGCCCATAAATGTGTCCGATAAATTTCGATTCATGCCGATAAAGTAATAAGACATGGTTTCTATGTGTACATGTATAAACAAAACTCATATAGCCCTGGCAGTGCAAACAAAACGTGACAACCAAATTACACGACACCTGTACATTGACTATTTCCAGTCCGCTCAGCTGAGCTGCGTGACACCAGCAACAGTTTCTTCAGCAAGGGTGATCCTTACGTGGAGATGACGGTGGACGGTCAGCCCCCGCGCAAGACAGAGGTGGTGAAAAAAACATGGAACCCGTCGTGGGACGAACACTTCACTGTGTAAGATTGAACGACACAAACAGCATGAAACCAATTGTCAGGGTGTTTGCCATTGACACTGCCTGGCGAACCTTTCCCATTCCACCCAGAATTTCTTCCAAACGATTTGTGCTTAACACTAATCGACCTACATCCTTAAAGATCCACAAGAAGTTTTAGGTGGATTTTGTTGGATTGGGGAAGGTACAGCCATCATACAGACACTGTTGCACAGGTTACACGTACCCCTGTGTGTTCAAAGAACATGCTCTTGTGACTTCACTTACCTTGGAAGATTTTGGTAGATTTGGAAAGGTGTACAGTAGATTTGAGTCTGCCACGAATACTGGTAAACTCCATTTCTCAGAAGCCAGCCAATAAGGATAATGTGAAAACAGATACATGTATCTAATCGTTCCAATTTGTAACCGATGCCTTTTCATTGATAAAAGGTTCAAGACATTGCACAGTACATGTAGCTTTTCTTACTTTTCAGAGCTTCTTTTTTGTTTTTGGAAATCAGATACCTCTTTTTTAGGATTGAAACTTTTGGTGTTTTGTTTTTCTGTATTCTGATGTGTTCTCGAAACAGGAGTGCATCATGGGATATGGTACCTTACAGTTTTCACTGCATTCATTACAGTACCAACATAGTTCTATAACCCAGACTAGACACGTATCTTTCTTTTGGTCATGCAGACTGGTGAAGCCCAACACAAAACTAGAATTCAAAGTATTCAACCATTTCTCTATCAAGAGCGACGTCTCCCTGGGCTCGGCAAAGCTGGAGCTTCTACCCCTGCTGTCGAAAAACAACGGGCAGTGTAAGTAATGCCCTTGATCTCTCCCCGTGCCGTGTCCAGGTCGCTCTCGTTCTCCGTGATCTGTCTTCCGTATCTGTCTGTGATCTGTCTTCTCCATCGTTCTGGAGTTAGTCTGTTGGAACCTATCGACTGGAGCAGCACACAAGACATAATAAAGCCTGTCATTGGAGGTGCAGATCCTTTCTCACTATTATTGGCCAGCATCCATGTTTCAGACACTGTCAAACAGCATACTCTAAGCAACAAGATTGTTACAGTCTTGACTGCCTGAACATCGTGATTTAACTCAGAATCTTTTCTTGGACCACTGTCATTAGTATATTGATGTGTGGTACAACAGGTAATCAATGAGTAATGGATATCTATCTGTCAGCTGGCCTCTTTATAGCAAGCTATTTGCGGCGTGCTGTGCTGTGAGTCATTTTCCTCACCGTACAGATGTTGCACAGTTGTAAGCAGTCACACCCCAGCCTTGCACAGTCTTGAGAGAGTATTCCTGTCTTTATCCTCCTTCTAGTTGAAAGCCTTAAGCACACCGTGGACCTGCAGCCCTCGGCTAAGGCCAACTCCCAGCGGAAGGGCAAGCTCCACCTCGTGCTGGACGGCCTGAAATTCAGCGCCGAGACTATGGCCCGACTGGGCTGTCCCATACAGAACGGTAAGGCTTCGCATTTTGTACCTGCCCTGACCTTTGGTGGGGAAGGGTGCTTTGTCACCATGTAATTTTGAGTTAAAGGCACTTGGGCCGTGTCCGAAATGGGTATTGCTGTGTGTGTGCCGCTGCAGCTAGTCACTGTATTGTGACAGTAGCCAAATACTCAAGTCATAGCCTAAGCATACCTGTTTTAGTCACGGCTTTGTATTTATCAAGCTGTGGTCTCAAAATGTTTGCACGCACCAGCATTGTGCGAAGTGTTTCGAATGATTCAATCGGTAACTTTGCCAGTCTAATGTAATACGTCCTGTTATTTTCATATTTGTTCTTGTCATCTTGTACATATTTGCTTTATTTCGGCCCAATTAGGAATAACTTTCTGTTACAAACTACACAAAAAAGCATGGAAAGTATTCAAAATAACCATTGGCTTTTACCATTGACTTTTCTTGTTTTTTCAGGACTGCCTCCAAGCCAACCCAACGGAGACATACCACCACCGCGCAGCAGCAACAGCCAAAACGGTCCTTCCAACAGCAGCAGCAGCACACGGAGGCACAGCACCGGCCACCCCTCCCCGGGCGACATCGCCTCGCAGGCTGCGGCTGTGGTCGTAGCCTCCTCTGCCAGCACAGGTAACATCTCAGGGCCTGTAGCCAACAGCAACGCTGCTCCAGCTACCACGGGGACGGCTACAGAAACCGGTGCCTCCTCGTCATCAACAACAACAGCAGCAGCGGCGGCGGCAGCAACACAGGCCGTAAGGCGGCGACCTCCCCCTCCACCCCCAGCAGCTGGGTCTAGACCTCCTGGCAGACCAGGTGAGTCTCTCCTTGCACCCGGATTTTTCAGGATTGAGCCTATCTGCCCTGAGCAGGAGCACCCCCTCATTGGTTGAAAAAAGCCATGTTGGTCAGGATTGCTCATTTTGTTTGTAGCGATGCGCAGTTACAACCAAACCTCCGTCGCTAGGAAAATTGCGCACTTTCTCGGTCTAGCCCACCCACCTCTAGGATGTGTAAAAGAAGTTGAATTGCAAACAGAAGAGTTAGATCTGTAAGAGTTGGTTACTGTCTCTAACTAGGGCCCCATTTGTTTCAACTGGTTGTACACTGACAACGATCAGTGATCCGTCGTCGGTGTACGGACACCAAAACCCGCCTAATGGATGGTGGGAACCAGTGTAAGGATCACTGATCCAGATCTGTGTAAAACAAACAGGCATGCCCTGAAAGCATCACCTAAGCGTCAGGAACAGATATGCTGGGTGGAAAAATTCCAACTTGGGATACATGTGAAGACTTTCCATTCAGCAGAAATCGGTAGTGTGCACTCAGCGTGTATCATGCCAAATGCGTAAAGGGACATTGTCCTGTAGCACAAACATGCCATCTGTAGTTCCTGCACAGAGTGGACAGAGCACAGCTACTATTTACTCTTCAAGGTTTTGACGCTCTTTTGAAAGTACACATATTTTGCAGTTGGTTTTCTGCACAGCAGAATAGTCGAATCAAAGTGTGCCCCCCCCACACACACGCACACCCTCATCATAGCCAACTTGTTTGGAATGCATTTGCCGATGAAGGTCAGCCTATGCATGGCAAGAAAGCAAATACCAACACAATTCGTGACATCAGATCAAATTTTTCATGCTGTGAATCTGCAAAAGTTGAACACATTTCGGCTCGAGTGATTTTCACTGCAGTTTTTTGGGGGGCATCAAATTCACTCCTTTTTTTGCATTTGTTTAAAGTGTGAACCAGCCTGTAGACAGCCATAGTCTCCCCAACTTATATGAAGGAATCTAATTCATTAGAATCACTTTTTCTCACAAGTGTTCTTCACTTCCTTCATTGAATGGAAAAAAAAATAAATATCCCCACTTCTTGGCTGTTACCTCCCTCTCCAGAGCGGGGAAACCAAGTCTCCCAGGGCAACAGCACATCACGGCAGACACCAGCGGCTGGAGGAGCCCGTGCCACACCCCCCGGCAACCAACCAGCCCAGATGCCCCCACCCACAGGTCTACCCCCAGCCGGAGCTGCTCATAATGACATCAATAGCCAGCCACTCCCTGCAGGGTAAAGTAGCCTTCTTTTTTTTGCCACCTTATACATATTAATGAGCAATTTGTCTTCCTGTGATTGGTCAATTTTTGACTACTCATAAAAAAGTAAATATATATAATTGCCTGTCGGGTAGGATTTTTTGACCTCGCTGTTTTGTAAGGAGTTTTTTTTTTTCGAAAAGTTAACTTATTCTTGTTGACTGTGTCTCATTTCTCATCCAGCATTTACACTGAAATGTTGCAGTAAGAATGCAGCTTCAGACACCAGACCTGATTAACAATACTCCGGCTTTTACATGTATTTGAGGGAATCCTTGTGGTTGCACAAAAGCGTTACCCTGAAAAGACTTTTTTCTTCAACATTTCTTGGAATTCATTCTTTGTGCTTTCTTGTTCTTTTTTTTCTCCCCTTTAGTTGGGAGATGAGGCTGGACCAGCATGGCAGGCCGTACTACGTGGACCACAACACACAGACAACAACATGGGAGAGACCACAGCCCCTACCACAGGGGTAAGTCTACTGTCCAGGGGTCAAGCTCCCTAAGTCTGCGTTGTGCAGAAATTTGCTAAGGGTGCAATATGCCTTGCGTGGACAGGTTGACCTCGGCAAGTGCAACGTATAAGATATTACCTGATATTGAATCCCCCGCCTTCTGTTTCAGCTTTTTTCTCGAGCTTGGACTCACAGTATGTCTTACGGTGCGGTGCCAAACATCAGTTTGATAAATCAGGTTGTAGGAAGTCCCATGTAGAGTACACGTACATCGGAGGATGTGTTGTAGTTAATTGATGGAGACCCCCAAATGAAGGAATGTGGAGGGTGCATCAACCAATAGCAGGGGATGCTCATTTGCTTGTCAGAAGATTTAGTAGTTGCAGCAGCGTGCACCCCAGCTGCAGCACTTAGGGACATGATCTTCAGCCAAAGAACAAAGTGGGTTTCGGGGTCTTCAGCCGAGTTCAGGAAACTTGGCTGAAACTATACACCAACAGATACCTCAAGGATGCTAATAGGTATCACCTCTTTGGTATCATCGTAGGTGGGAGCGACGGAGAGATCCCCAGGGCAGGATCTACTACGTGGACCACAACACACGCACCACAACCTGGCAGCGGCCCACCGTGGACTCACTACGCACATTCCAGCAGTGGCAGCGCCAGCATAACCACCTGCAGAACACCACTATGCAACAACTGCAACAGAGGCTGTTCCTACCGGTCAGTGTTCGACTGTGCCTGAATGGCTCAGCTTTGGATGGGATTTAACCCTGACTACCCCCACACCTGCCATACTCCCAACAGCAGGTTTTTGTGAGGTTTTTGGCAGGTTTGGTTCCGTACCTGATGAAAGGTCCAGGGAGATGGTGTTTGATTCTCTGTGAGTTGGGACACACAGGGTTCATTGTGTACAGTGTCTGGCTTGCTGTACCAATTGTAGGACTGTGCTTGGTTTTGTCAGGTTTGGTACTGTTCAGTGCAAGTCATTCTATACTGCACAGACCCATCCATACCATATCACTCAAACTCCAACGGGCTCATTCTGTTGGAGTTTATCAGGTTTGGTACAGTAACCTGCATGTACAAGTACATAGACAAGTGCATGAACCTGTTGGATTTTGTGAGGTTTAGTATGCTTTCTAGTGCAGGAGCCAAGGGGGCTATGGTTAATACAGGTGTCTATGGGAAATGGCTACAGCCTTTAGACAGTGGCTTTGGCTACGGCCAGGATTTATTCACGTGTCTGTGGGAAATGGCAACAGCTACCAGACTGTAGCATTCCTGAGTGTATGCATTCATATGGACTGGCATTTAGGTCAGTGACGCACATCTGTGTACCTGAGGGTCTGTTAGTGACCGGAATGATGAGGAAAATGGGACACTTGTAATTAATGGGACCTATTGCACTAAATGTGTTTTATATCGCACCTCTGTCTAAAATCTCTAATAAAAAGAGAAACTTTTCAGGGTTCTATAATTGAGGGCATTGTAACTGATAAAAAGTTTGAAATATAGTACCTAGTGGGGCGCTTTTCTTAAGAAATTATTCACACATTATGTCTCCACACTTGTCTAATTCATGCTAACGTAGGTTACCTGTACCAGCCTTTTGTAGTGAACCCCACGTGACCGTTTTGTTCAGCCAACCGGGAGTAAAAGCCAGCAAGAGGTGCATAATGCTGAATAAGCTCCATGGCTGAACAAGAAAGACTAGGTCATTATCAAGGAGTGACCTTTTATAGTCTTCACTTCATATGTGTGCACACATTGAGCAAAAATATGCACTACTTATCATCTGGCCAAGTGTCGGTTGACCTTTGACACAGACAGATACATCCAATGCTGTAATAGCCAGCCTTCCCACCGTGATGGATTGACAGTGAAGTTAAGATTCTGCTTGTTTTTGTATCAGTTGCAATTGTAATTTCCTTCTCTCTGCAGTCGGGAAGCGGTGTGGAGCCCAATGACCCTCTAGGCCCTCTACCTGTTGGATGGGGTAAGCACCAGTGTGATTTCACCCATTTATTTCATCTTTCGCATGTTGCTCTGCAGTTGTCCGTTGATTTGTAACAGCTGTATTTTATGATTTCATCTAGCCAAATCATGAGTTGGGCCCCTAACTTTTGATGTAAAAAGGGGACTAAGCAATGCCTGTGTCAACGTCCATTAGAAGGGTTTGCATATTGACTGGCTTCGTCGACTACAGTTAACCTGCTTCATATTGTCTGTCTTGCACAGAAAAGAGAACCGACCAGCATAACCGAGTCTATTTTGTGAATCATGAAAACAAGACCACGCAGTGGGAGGATCCGAGAACGCAAGGGTGAGAGGGTGTCCTCAGTGTCTACTTGTGTGTGTGCAGGATTACAAGTGAGGACATTAGGTCCTCGGATGGCAAGCTGTCCTTGGTTTGTTACTTGTGTACAAACTCAGTAAGAGTTTGATTATTTGATTGGCTTCTCAGCAACATTTGCTATTGTAATGCATTTGTGATTAAAAATTGTTTAAAACGGAAAACGAAATTCAGGAGGAGGTGTTGTTGTGAAATGAGGACTTAACCCTAACCCTCCAAGATTCTTTTAACATCCACGAGGAGATTTTGAAGGTTGTTGCATGATTACATAAGGTTCAGACCAGTTAACTGCACCTGTCTTGAGTCAAAAAGGGCGTGCCACTGGATTCAATCACAAAAGAAGATTTTAGATGGTTTTTGGCAAAGTTGCCAAGGGAGTTCGAATTGATAATGCACTTTTCTTTGACACTGGCGATCCTTCCCTGGTTGCCACTTTGCACCAAGTGATCTAATGATGATAGCTTCATAGTTCACCACAACCAATCTGGACACGTCTTGCCCCTAACCATGGATTCCTCTCTACGCAGTGCCAACATGCAGGAAGACCCCCTACCAGACAACTGGGAGATCCGATACACCAAGGAGGGTGTCAGGTACTTTGTTGATCACACCAACAAGACAACGACCTTCAATGACCCACGACCAAATGCAGCCAAAGGGTGAGTACGTGGCCCAAGAGACCTTGCAGTCTGAACAGCTCAGAATAACGTTTGTATAGAATAGATCCTAAAAACCAGAGAGTTAACCTTTTGAAGATCTAACAAGCAGAAAAAAAATTCCGAACAAACAAGACCACAAGTGATGATGGAAATCCTTTTGAGACCATTACTGGCATTTGTTGCTGGCATCTTCATTGACATTTTGCTGGTGTGCTGACGACATTGTTTTTTTTGTGCCTTTCTCCATAGACCCAAGGGGGCGTACGGCGTGCCCGTGGCCTACGAACGCAGCTTCCGGTGGAAACTGGGCCAGTTCCGCTACCTGTGCCAAATCAACGCCTTGCCCAGCCATGTCAAGATAAACGTCTCCAGAAACACACTCTTTGAAGACTCTTTCCATCAAGTGAGTCCCGAGGAAGATCCCAATCAAACTTCATAACCTTGCCTAAGACAGTTCAAGTATGGTTTGCAGCATGGTGAAAATCAGACTTGACTTTTTCTTTTTCTTTCCTTTGATGTTGCCTCTTCTCAGATAATGAGGCATCAGGCATTTGATCTTCGGAGGAGGCTGTTTATTATATTCAGAGGAGAGGAAGGTCTAGACTACGGAGGAGTAGCAAGGTAGGCTTCATTTTCCCCCCGCCCCCCCCCAAAAAATTGTTTTTAACGTTTTCTGTCGGTCCATTCATTTTTGAAGGTTTGCATTCATTTCTCAAGTTACGCCCAGGTTTCTGAAAGCTGCTGTTTTCACAGGTGCAACAGAAAGACGGGCACTGCTGGGTTGATGGTACAAGTCAAAACATTAGCTTGTATCTGGAAGTCTGTGAAAGTTTCTGAGAGCCGGGTTGCCCTTCAAAAAGCTAGCTTCTGTTTAACAAACCAGTGTCTCTTTTCTGAATGGCTTATGAATTCTCAAAGCCAATGAATATTTCTCAAAAAAGGCACATTTCTGAAAGATCTGGAGAATCCGTGCACACTCATGTATTGTTGATAGTTTAGTCCTTCATGTGCATTATCATGCTGATAAACAGTGTGGTAGTCATTCAACCTGTGCCCCTTCTCGTTCCCCTCCCCTCCCCCCCACAGGGAATGGTTCTTCATGTTATCCCACGAGGTTCTCAACCCCATGTACTGCCTGTTTGAGTACGCCAACAAGAGCAACTACTCGCTACAGATTAATCCGGCCTCCTCGGTCAACCCCGACCATCTGGCTTACTTCCGCTTTGTCGGCAGGTTCATTGCAATGGTAAATACGCCATGCTTCACGTAATGCTGTGTACTGTCTGCCCTACTTCAGTTATCTTGTTGGAGTTTTGTAGGATTTGATGCAGTTGGGGTGGCGGGTTTTGTCTTTGCTGTCGAAATTACATCCTAGATCACTAATCAGTGTGGTGTCCCTATAGAATGTTTAATTATTTAAACATCTGAGTGGTCATTGTGTTTTTTGGTTGTGGTTTATATTTAGATGCAATTTTCATGATGAATACTTAAAGGTTGGTTAAAAATGTAACTTTAACTAGAGGACTTGGGACTGTTAGGGTTGATTTGAGGGCTCTTCTGAAGTAGATTACTCTCTTAAAATATTACATTTTTTAATAAGTAAACATCGAGTAACTTGATGTACGTTTGGTGAACACACCCCTTGCCTCCTAGGCATTGTACCATGGCAAGTTCATCTACAGCGGCTTCACCATGCCCTTCTACAAGCGCATGCTCAACCGGCAGCTGACCCTGAAGGATCTCGAGAGCATCGACCCCGAGTTCTACAACTCGCTGTGCTGGCTCAAGTAAGTCGGCCGCTGGTGTCCTGGGCCGTGTCTAGGTCTTTGTGGGTATTGCAAACATTCAGGCTTATGCCAGCAAGCGTCGTGGCTCGCTGGGCCCATTGTGGACACGGCCTCCGTTTCATTCGTGTTGGTTCAGCAGTGGAAAAAATATGACGCAGATTGGCTTTCCGAGAGGGGGAATGCAAAAACAAGGACAACCAAGCAAAAACTCAGCATTGTATTGGCACATTTTAACTTGAAGAAGATGTTTTGGTTGTTTGGGGGGCTGGCTAATTTTTTCTCTGTCTTCATTATATCAAACTGTTCACAGGGCAGCAGTTTCGATCTTGGAGGGGCAAGGCAAGTTCTCATTTGCAAAGGGCACTCGCATTAGAAAGTCAACTTGTCTATGGGGACATTTCAATTGTTTGACATTCTTGCCTGATTTGAAATTCTCTACTTCAGGGAGAATGAGATTGATGAGTGTGATCTAGGTATCACCTTCAATGCTGACTTTGAGGTTCTGGGCAAGCTGGAGACGGTAGAACTCAAGGAGAACGGAAGCAACATTATGGTCACCGATGAAAACAAAGAAGAATACATCAAGTGAGTAGGCGGGTGTACCAAAGACCTGACCTATTAGAGACCTCAACAATTCTGAAATTTTAGTAAGAAATACGTTAGCGGTTCTTACAAAATGAGTCTGATGAGCATATGATTAGTTATTTTGTTTGTCTTAAAATGGTGCGAAGTGAGCTCTTTGTTATGAATCACCACTTAGTTGGGCATTCTCTTGAAAATGGCATGATGTGGGTGGGCATGATGTGGGTGGGCGTGATGTGGGTGGGCGTGTTGTGGGTGGGCGTGATGTGGG